ATAGGTTTTACCATTGAGTTGGAAACTAATAATAACCTTCCATTCTTAGATATTCTTATCAATAGAAAATCAGACCTAACATTGGGTCATTGCATTCCATGCATATGCGGCAAAGAATACATTGGAGAAACCGGAAAACTAGGCTCAAAGAACACGAAAGAGCCTTACGATTAAGACAAATAAACTCATCATCTGTTGCCCAACTCAATCACGAAACCGGACATAAAATTTTATTCCATAAAACTAAAATTCTTGCATGTAATCAATTCTTCTACCAACGAAAAATATGGAAATCAGTCACCCGGGACGGTGTTTATGTCCCTCATTTAGCCCCCCCAGTCTTCAAATAGTATATAAGCAGGTACAGAGTAAAATGCGAGCCAGTTTCAGTCAAGCTTTGAAGAAGCCAACAGGACGATTGGCGAAACGTCAAGTTCGACTCAGCAAAAACCGAGGCAGGTGGAATCCAGAAGTTTTGTAGAAAGGACCTTAACCAATTTATCTACTCAATCTCAAGTTCTCGCAAAGTGTAGTACATCCATATATTATAATATATATCATTAAATTCATTACCAAAGAAGGTATAATGAATTTTAATTAATTTTAAGCGTTTATTTTCAGTAGCTGTTCTAATGCAGTTTCGTGACACAATTTTCCCGAAATCTAATGAAAAGGTCTATTTGACATCGTCGCATTTCAAGTAGTCTCTGAGCCGTTCTATAACAAAAATCGTTCCTAGGTTTGAAGTAACATTTTTGGTCTTAAATAAGGAAAAAAAAGAAAAATACTGCCAACAAAAATAATAAATAAATTTCTAACATCTCTAAACAATTTACCTATTTAATCTCAAGCTCTCGAAAATGGTAGTTGAGCCAATTTCAATTAATTTTCAGCGTTATTGCTCTCAGAGCCTCGTTTAGATTTTGTACTATTTAAATTACATTGGGTGATCGGGAATGCAGCGCCGTCGAAACAATGTTTTTCTTGGATGTGGGGAAATTTGTGTCACATAACCGACGTTAGGATAACTATTACTCCGCTTTCATTAACCTCTTGCCTCCTTTTCAATTGATTCGAATAGTTTTATATACGATAATTGCATTTATAACGAAGGTGCCTCGTAGGAGAAGATACGTTAGCATAATCTGTCAAATTATGATCATTATCAAGTATCATTGATGGATCCATCAGCGTTTTAAAAATACTCTGTAGGATTTGAGCGGGGATGATTTAAGCTAAAAAACCCTTTTAGCAAAATCACGAATAACGAATAAAACATCCACAAAAATAAAACGGTCTATTTACACGCACGAGTATGTACAAATCGGTGTAGGTGGGTAGGTAGCAATTCATTGCGAAGGGGGTTTAGGGATAAACACAAATAATAAAAACACTAAAGCCACTGATTAGGTTGGTCGTCAACATTCATCAATGTGCGTTTGCATATAAGAAAATGTTAAAACGGTGCGTGTTCTTGGTGCAGATAATAAATAGATATGTAAGTATAATAGAGACCAATAAATTACTAACTAAAATATCGAATCATTAGCCAAGAAATATTTATATGTATAATGTATATATATAATCCTCAGTAATTGAATCCAAAGGAACAGTCACGAATGTAATAATAAATATGCAAGCAGTAAAAACGTTCAATTGTTATTACTCGTGAGCGCTTATAGCTTCTTTGAAGTTGGAGCTCCACTTCCAGTCATACTACATCGGAGATGTAACAGAAAATAATTTGGTCAACAATTTTGGGCAGACTTTTCCTTAACGTCTGGTTTGATAATCCCCAACATATTTTTATCCGACAAGTGGTTACGTTTGAATCTTATCGGTTGCGTACAAAATGTTTTTCTTTAAACGTCTTTGAACCTTTCGAATTTATTTTACAAGAAAAGCGTTTTCTTTCCATATAACTTCTAAATATATAAATAACTCTGCTGATAATATTTTTGAAGCCAACATCAAATATGTTGAGAAGGAGTATTAAATAATAATAATAGTAATAATAATAATAATATTAATAATAATAATAATAATAATAATAATAATAATAATAATACTGATATTACTAAGTTTCCGGTTTGGATGTGACATTTTTTATGCCGTATTTTGTCCATTAAAAATTTCATATCCAGCAAGATTTTTTTAATAGGTATTAGGAATGGAAATGGTTCTTTATAGATTGACATCAGACCTCACAAAATAACGAAACAATCGTTTTTTCTACTCTTTAATTGGGTAAAACTTGGCTTCCGTATTGCTTTAGAAGTCTTCTTGTTGATAAGTTTCAACACATAACTACTATGGGAATTAAAAATATGTTAGCATCAAACTTCTACATTTCGAAACATTTAATATACCTATGTGCAGGTCAGTAGCGGCGTACAATTTTTAATTTTGTAATACTTACACTTAAAGGGGCAATTAAATCTTGCGATAAAACACTTAAAAAGGGTCTCACAAGATGCTCCTACATTCGGAAGTCCTACTCTATCGTTAGTGTTAACCATATTTGTAAAACGTCCGCGTTTGATTGATAAATTGTGTTAACAGGAGCCAAATGTGCCAAAGCTAACCCAAGTCCGCTTCTGCGCTCCTGTCAACACTAATTTCCGTATGATTGTTCCTTCGTAAAAATGTTAAATTGTTGTTAATTTTCACAAATATGATCAAGTAGACAGGTAAAGTTAGCTAAGGTAACATTGGAAATGCATTTGTCAGTATTACAGTTTGTTAGTTGAAAAATTGGTTTTTCCTTAAGTATTTCTCGAAATTAAGCGGTATAAAAAACGAATCAATTTATATTTTTGAAGAGCTTTTTTGTGTTTTTGGGTGAAGTTTCCTGTTACCTCATGAAAATTGATACGTCAGTGGGTAAACAAGGTTTGGTTTTATTTACCTTCACTCTCGGAAAGAAAATCTAAATAAAAAAATCCCTAATATGTTGTATTAAAAATCGGAAGGTATTTTTGGAGACATTTTGAAGATCGATTATGACGAAAAGGTGAAGACCGATCTAGATAGGTTTTTTTTTATTATGGGATGCAACGGTGTAGTCTGAGACTCACAAATTGTGATGTTATGTAATACGAGAGTGATATATATATATATATATATATATATATATATATATATATATATATATATATATATATATATATATATATATAATCACTCTCGTGCAAAATTTAGTGACAATCATTTTACTTAAAAATAGAAATACCTATTGTACAGAATAATCCCTGAAATGAAAAAGCATGATTCCATTCCATAGGTTACAAAAAACTACGGAATTTTCTTAACGAAGACACTCAAAACAGAAAATCTCCTTTAAATAGAGTAAGAATAGGGAATAGAGACACTGAACAATAGAGTAGTAAGTGCGTCGAAGACATCGAAATAGAAGGAATAATGCCAAAACCTGGATAATATGCTTGAAAACTGTAAAGATCCTCATTATTACTTTGGACTCTAACGACTATAGTTCTACTCATTACACGGAACATGAAGTTTTTTTTTTAATGTTTAAATGAAACATACAGAGTGCCTTATTTAAAAATAACACAAATTTACGTTGTATTTAAAAATGTGTGAGTTTCAGGAAAAAACTGACTGCACTGGATTGCTACATCTTATCCGGATCAGTTTTGACCTATTCAGTGAGTTGAAACATAACCGAACTCAGTACAAAGATGGCAAATTAATTGAAAACGATAACATACGTTAGTTTCAATTGTTAGTACTAAATAATTAATTTAAGATATTTAAGCACGATTTAAGATATTAAGCACAATCATAAGTTGAAGCCATAAATGTATTAGTTGATTTATTTTAAAGAACTTCATTTTTAAACGACAATCTAATTAGGAACGCTTGAGTAGCGTCAGTATAGAGATTTTAATAATAATAATTTAATGTAAATCTTCCTTTGAATTCCTCCCGAATAATATGGGTCTTAAGAGTTGTAAGGAAAATGAGAGACAGATTATTATTAATCTTCATAGGAAAGATTACTCCAATAAAATTATTGCTGATATGATTAACCGTTTCAAAAAACTGGTAGGATAAATCCAAGGTAAATAAATTTGGTCCTGATGGTAAACGTTTTATTCACCAAATAACTCGCATTACACTATGAAAACAGTGAAATTTGGAGTTGGTTGTATTATGGTTCGAGCGTATTTCTCCTGGAATGGTATTTGTTTTACAGAACTCCATGTGTCAGTGTAATTACATTAACATACTGGAAAACGTCATATTCAGAAGAAAACTTATCAGTACTTTGGAAATTCCAATGATGCCAAACATGCTGTTAGGGGAGGCACTGTCTGGGTACATATAGATGTTTTATAGTAGCCACCCTGTCGCCCAAACCTTAACCTAGTAGAAAATATGACAGGAGCTTGGACCTATATTCCACTAGATATTGGCAGATGTCTAATACAGACTATGCCTAGGAGGTGTTGAACGCAACGGATACCCAACTAAATACTAGATATTATATATTATTGTTTAAACGTATGATTATGCTTAATGTGTCAATAATATATTTGTTAATTCCAAAAATGAAAATTACAGTAAGCTAACATTTCCAATTAGTTTTCCAGTAATTGTAAGTGCCCTAAAAATCCATGACTTTGACTATGACTTTTCTGTGTGAAAGCACTCTTTATTAATAAGGGCGATACGCAATAAAATTATCAAAAATGGACACAATGTAAATAGATAAAAGTAGATAACGCCGTATATTATAAGTTTTCTAGCTCGAGGTATAGGGAAATAGTTGGTTAATATCAGAAAGTTTAAAAGACACAAAAATAGAAGTAAGGCTGGTTCAAATCATTCTATGATCTTTTTGACAGTCTCTATTTTAATGTTTAATATGTATATCCACATGTTGTACTTGACTCATATAAATTGATTCGTTGCCAAATGAAAAAAAAACATGCAGCTTGTTCGATACAAAACTAAACACCTACGACGTCACTCACCTTGCTGTGTTGCGAAGATGGCGTAATAGGCGGCGTTTCGATCGCGGTGGGCGACAGTCTGCCGTCATTATTCGAGTTTGAGCATGGCAATCGTTGTTCTTGAACACTGGCTAATCTGAGAAAAAAAAACGAACCCAGGCATCGGGACATGAGTCCATGGCTATTCGCTTGCGCACCTTTTGAGCGTAACGAGAGTACCCGTCAACTTCTTGCAGCGTCTCAGAGCGCTTTCTAATCTTTCCGGTTCTTCCTTCAAGAATTTCTCCTCCCTCATCATCTTGTCCATTTCGGTAGACAGTAGGGTTTTCATACTGTCTTGTAGGCCGGGAAATCTAAGTGAATAAGTTAAACAGTTCTCTTCATGTACACAGGTGTACAATGCATCTCAATAAGTTGGAGTTTATTTGGCACGAGCGGAGCACAGCCGAGTGAGTTAAAAAGTTTACCGCATATTATACTTTTCCTACGACCGTTAGTTTTTGGGTACATTTTCGAAAAACAATACTAATACATTGACTGACATGACCGGCAAACTTAACAAGCGTCAAAATTCAAGGCATGGGAAATACCTCCGCAAATATCCGATTGCTCCCAAACCCGTGCGGTAAAATCCCGGAAATGTCCGAAGTGGCTCGGATCCGCGGGAAACGAAACTGAAGTGGTAAAGTGACGCTTCCCGCACGCTAGATCCGTGTGTAATTAAGCTTTTTACAGACGGGAGTAGAAAATAGTATATTATGCAACAAGTGCGGTAAACGGCATTTGACCCATGAGTGAGTTAAAAAGTTTACCGAACGTGTTGCATACTATACTTTTTCTACCACCGTTAGTTTTTGCGTACATTTTCGAAAAACACGAATACATTCACTGACATGACTGTCAGAATTGACAAACGTCAAAATTCAAAGCGTGGGAAATATCTCCAAAAAGATCCGATGGCTCACAAACCCGTGCGGTAAAATCCCGGATATGCCCGAAGTGGATCGGATTCGTAGTAAATGAAAATCACGTGGTAAAATTGCGCTTCCCGTATTTTATAGACGGGAGTAGAAAGATCCATTCACTGACATGACGGTCAGTATTGACAAACCTTAAAATTAATTTTAAACAAATGGCAGGAAATTTCTCGAAACATGATCAGGAATGTATTACTGTCTAGAGCTGATATTACCATTGCATTACTTATTATTAGTGTGCACTTTTTTAGGTTCAAAATAAATGCATATACATTCAATACATGTTTAAATTGTAAAACTGTTAGAAAACATTAGAAAACGAAAAAGTTATCATTACTTTTATAATTACAAGAGATAAATGTTCATTCAAAATAGATTCAATATTAAACCAGCAGGACACTACTGGAAAAAATAATATTTTTATTTTATATTTTAGAACATGTAGAATTTATTATTATAAACAAGTTTTTTCGTAACAACATTTTAATTTGATTTTATAATATACAAGGACTTTCGTGGGATTAAAAGAACTGCAAGTCGAAGCAAGTAGAAAAGTCAATATAGGAAAAAATTGTGTTTCTTAAAATGATTTAAGAAAATGCTGGTATCAAATCTGATACAAGAAGACTGCACTAACCGAGCTGTTTATTTGTTAAATCACATGGTTCTCCATGAAAAATTAAGCAATTCAAAATTTTCCGCCATAAATGTCTTTAAATCACCACTGTACTGCTTAAGCGGAAGAAAATAATCGTTCTTCCGCAAATGTGTTATTTTGGAAGATTTAAACAATAATCTACCGCCCTTACCTTAACTTTAAATCGGCAACAGTTTTCGAACTCTTGCTTAAAATTAGGGCCATATTTTCCACGTCTGACATGTTAACCCTCGTTTTTCTATTAATGACGTTCCCCCGGAGCTCTTCCACGGTAGACTCGAGTTCTCCTAAATCCTTCTCCAATCTCAGCATCTCCTGCTTGTAGAGGTCCTCCTCGCGTGTGAGCCGCATTCTTTCCTGATCCATCTCTGAACATTCGAAAAATAATTTAAAGATTTTACTAGCGATCATCAAAATGGTCAATTCCGTTTTAACATTCTCAGACGAACTAAAAGTCAATCTCTCGATTTTAAATTCCGTCCAAAATTCGGGCAAACTGGCGCGAATGCGATCGACCGTCGATAATTTGAAATTCAAATTTGATTCCATCCACTAGAAGCGATCTCTTTGACAAAGGCCCAAATGTGTTTGTCTTTCCATTGAAAGACCAAAAAGGTTTTCTCTGCAGAAGGAAAATGGGATACTTTCCTAACTCCTTTGTATTTTAATTCATCGTGATTTTAATTATTAAAGGGAATCAACATGTATTTTAACTTAGGATTAACTGGTGAATATTTTTATAAGCAACCAGGAAAAAACTATGGTATAAAATTTTGACAAAACATTGTTTATATTTATTATTCATAAGTTAAACTGAAAAGACGAAAAACATTTCATTTTGCTCGAAGCTTAGCCTAGATTGCTAAAGCGTCATATTGGTTAAACGCAATCTGCAATAATGCCTTTGAAAGAGGGACCATTGGTCACACAAATCCAACAAATACACTATTAATAAACAGGGTCTTATTGAAATGACAGCAGATAAGTCAATAAGTGTCTCATGTCTAGCGATTCTTGCGCTATTGCTCATTTAAATGTTCTAACTTTGATCATTTTTCCCAATTTATTTTGGATTCTGGAGTTGACTTTCTGGGTTTTTCAGAAGCTTGGCTTTCAACTCTGGAACTTAATGATAGTCTAAACATTGATGGTTATATTATTGTATGGCGTGACCGTGGAACACGTGGTGTAGGAGTAGCTTTTTATTATCGCAGTCATTTTAAAGTTAGAGCTATAGATATATCGGAATATATTAATAATAATAGTTTAGAACAATTATGGCTGTCTCTAATATCGAAGGGAAAACGTTGGGTCTGGTAGCAGTTTATAGACCTCCAACATTTAACTTACTTGAATGCCTTGACTCTCTGGAAAACGTCCTTACCGCACTTATTCCTCAGTTTGGTTTTTTGATGTTTGGCTAACTAATACTCCCGCTTATTTTCGATTTTCAAATACTTTCACCAACTCCGGCATGCACAGTTACAGGGCCCACTCGGGTTACTGGAAACTCTAGTTCGCTAGTTCGCTTCTTGATGTACTGGTCACTTCTAATTTATCCATAAGTGGCAATATTGAAGTTCATGATATGAGTGATATCTCTGATCACTGTATTGTTTCTTGCAATCTCAAGTTGCAGAAAGACCGTCATCCAACCCTTTTTTGAACCTTTAGAGATTTTTCGGCATTCGATAATGAATTGTTTATGTATTGTTATTCATGCTCCATTAAAAACAGTTACAATTATTTAATTTTAATAATACTTAAAAATAGGTCACGTTTAAGATACAAACGTCTTAAGTAAGATATTGCTTTAAACGAGTATAGAGAATTACGAAATTTTGTGAACCCTTGCGTGAGAGCTGATCCCAAAAATTTTTGGCGTATTTGGAGGTGACTTCGAGTGCACAGTAATCCTATCTTAATGTTTGAAAACAATTTTGGCCAACCTAATAGTTTTAATGTTGGTTTTACTTCTTTTGGAGCAGTTGGTGGTATTGATCCGGGGTTTGTGTCGGCAAATTATATTAATAAACAATTTGGTTCTAATTCATTCCGTTTTGCTAATAAAACTTTAATTAACGCCCATGACTTAGTTATATTTATCTTTTGTTGCTAGCGAAGCCGCTAGTAAGCCGCTACTAAGCCGCTACTAAAATAAATTTAGATCTAAATATAATTGAGGAGGAATCTGCAGTTCACAACCTATTATTGAATACTAACAAAACGCAGACATTATTATTTGGAAATAAAAGGGAAGATATTGTAAAAAACGCCTTTTTTAAGATTACACTAAATGATGAGATTATCTCTCCTTCTTCAGACGGGTGTAAAAGTTTAGGATTAGTTATGGTTTGACGGTGACTTGCGGTTTGCTAAGCATGTTGGCTATGTGTTAATCCTATAAGTTGAGGACACTGTATACTCATAAACATTTTGTCAGTAAAGAAGTCAAACTTAAACTCTGTGATATGTTAGTTTTATCCAATGTCGCTTATTCGTCGCGTATTGTCTAATGGCCAGCTGTACTTAATCGAGATAAGGAGAGACTCCAACGTCTTCAGAATGCTTGTATTCGTATTGTATTGTATTGTAACCATTAATACACATAAATAGGTTTAAACTATATTAGTTGCACGTGAAGATGTACAATTTAATTTTAATATTTTTCGGAGCTATACTTGTAGCGCCATATCCAAGTTTATGCTAAAATTCTTGTAACTGGAGTGGCACAGAAATACACAACCCGCAAAATGTGGATTGACTAAATAATTTAATTTGTAGAACGTAGAACTCTGAACGTATCCTTCTTCAATATAAATGTTAGGCTTAATGTGCCTGTTGCCGTATCCATATCTTTCAAAGTCTTCCTAAACTCCTCTTTCCATAAGGTCTGTATTTATGAATTTGTGCGGTAAGTTTTTGTGGGTTCATCCAAGTTATATGGTCACCCATATTTTCCTATTTTCTTCTACTCACCTCATTTCAGCATCGTGCTTGGCAACATTCTTGGTTTTTATTGAGGGCCCATGATTCACTTCCGTATAGTAGTGTTGGTTTGATAGGATTCATGATAGATTCATATCATATTCCTCAAATATTTCATTCAGCTTGAGTTCCTTGCTGAAAGTAATTAAGAAAATTTTATATTGCTAAGTTTTAACCCATTGTTATACGCTGTTTATGATCTTTTATATGTTAAAGAGTGTTTTGAAGATGGCGCATCTCTGTCTGCAAGGACTTGTTCTTCCATTGCTGTTTACATCAGTTTTTGTTTTCTTATAGCCTTGGTCAGATGTGTTTGGTTCCTTCTCATTTCCTTTATATCGAATAGCTTAGAACGATTTGTTGTCGAATGTTTTGCCCAAAGGTATGAAAGCCATATGCCTCTAACTCTCGAAACCATATGTGTCTAAGTCAAATGTTGATCTACCTTTGCTAAAGCCCAATTGTTCTTCTAGTGAATGATAACAAGTGCGAATTTGAGAAACTCCATATTTATACCGTCACTACCTTAGTAGCTTTTCTGTTTGGGTTGTCTTGTAGGCTTTAGTAAATTCATTTATGTATATAGAGTGTGCAAATAGTTTGTCAAAACTGTATATCTCAAATTATAGATAAGAATAAAAGAAACAATTTAATATTATTTTTAAATATACACATATATAGAAAACCAAACTTTACACAAAATTAAAAATAAACCTATTTATTTTAATTTGAGAAATTTTCTGAGTTTTTTGCGTAAAAATGTAGTTTATGTTTAGCGAATGTTTAATAGAATTGAAAGAACATTAATTCACTAAAATTTATATTTTTAATTTTAACTTACCCTGTATAAACGATTCAAGACAGCTATATTATAAAATTGTGCTAGGAAAATTACAGCTGTCGAAAACGGCGTCAAAAATATAAGGTATTGAACAAAGGACATTTTCGCCAAAAAAATTGCCACAAATTTTAATACATCAGTGTGGACCATACCCACCTTTCATTTGGTGAGTGTAATAAGGAGTACCTATGAATGCAATAACATACAGGCCGCTCCATTTAAAAATATATAAGTTTGATTTTCCACGTGAATCACCCTGTATGTCTGAAAATAATTTTAAATTGTTTCTATTAGTCTTATCTGTAACTTTTATATTTAACATTTTTCTCTAAAACAAAAAACAAACTATATTATTTCTTTGACATTTGGACATTCTGTTTATCGTCCAAAACTTTTACATCTGTTTCCTCTTTTATACCACTGTTATCGTTACCGTTATCTCGATCTGTTTTGTTCAGTCAGGTTTTGCAAACAGTTTCCATTTTTTTTGTGTTTTTCATCAATTAATTGCTTTGGTTTAGTAGATCTTTGTTGTTTCTATATCGTTCCATTCGGCTTCTACGTCTGTGTCAGTTGGTGTGTGTACTGGTCCTTACTTAAGGCATATCTGATAGGGAGGTTTAATACTTTCCTAGTGGAGAAGACTTTGGCTGTTTTTGAATGTTGAGCTTTGTTGCATTTGGAGTACATATCTATTTTCGGTATAGTTTTTTTGCTAGTTTCAGATGCGAGAGTAGAATAATTTTTTTTTATGACTTTAGGCAGTTCTTTTTGTTTCTGTAGGGTTTTGTAATGTTATAATGTACCTTTTTTTTTTAAGTGAGAGTAGAGTAGTGATTTTGGTAAAAGCAATTTGCACTATTAGGTAGGTGTGACGGCCATGCAAGCCCGTGGAATTTGAACTATTCCATGTGTCTGATGTATTTCATGTATTTTCTAATATATCTAATATATATGAAGGTATAGAAGAGGTATATAGAGATATGACAGAGGTGCATGGACGATATGTATGGAAGTCAGGCATACGGAGTAGTTCAAATGTACAGATCTGGCTGACCCGAGCGACGCTATACCTGTGCTGTCACCTTCTTTTGGAATTTGAAATGAATGAATTTCTGAAATGAGCAATTTTTGTGTCAAATGGGTTAAACCTTGTATACAATTTGTAGACAAAATAAAAAGTCTTCTAAAAACTTATTAAACGAGGCGTTGCATGATTTGCATTTTATACCAAATCTTTGGAGCAATTTTTCTGAAATTCCAGGCCGCAAGAGATTGGTTCATTAAATTATGTCATTTCATTTCAATAGCACCCTGTATGAGATCAACGGAATAATTCGCGTGGTTAAAACGTAACAAGTCACTTTAGTCACATTTACGTCGACGCTGAATTAATAAAAGACAAAAAAATAATAACCTGCTTGCCAGACTTGTTCGCCTCCGGCGAGCAGCATAGCCCGTATTTTGATAAAAGTATCCCTGATTGTTTCCTTCACCGAATGCGCCTGCGCCTGTGACATGCGTCGCAAGTTTCTTACTTCCGCACGCAAATCTTTCGCTTTCTTTTGCAACCCGCGCAGCTGATTGTACATTTCCGGCGTGAGCTGCAAGTCTCTGTAGATCCTGCTGTCATACTGGCCAGGCGAGAGTGAAGCCGGTTTCGGCGGAGGCGCCGGTTTCAGTCGGTCTCGTTCTAGAAAAATAAACCAGTATTATCGAGCGACGATTGTTTTCCGTAAATTGTCAGCGCATATTTGTGTTCAAAAATTTTAACTATAGTGGAGAAATTAGACACTGAACTATTATTATTGAGTTGAAGACGCCTCACATAAACATATAAATGTTACTAGTTTTGGAGATACAGGGCGTTCAAAGTTTAATTTCGTTATGTATTTTTTTCCTTAAATGATTAATTAATGAATTAATTAAAATATGACGAAAATCTAAAAAACTAAATTTTGCTTTGTTTAGGATATCCAACTCTGTCGGTTTTGACTTGTTGGTGTTCAAAAAGTTCAAAGAATTTCTTCTGATATTTTTAAAAAACACATAAACTTAATAGTAGTTTATTTATAATTTAACTCAAATGTTGGAATTGTCCATCATTTACCTCAATACGTTTTACTTTAATGTGTTTGAATGTATGCATTCTGGCCTCCTTGTATTTTCTGACGCATCTCATGCAAAAAATTAACTTCCTCAACGTATCCAAAGAAAATCCAAAAGGAAATAAAGAATTGTAAAGAATGTGTAATTAGACATCTGTAGAAAATGTTTTATGTTAGTACGTGAATTCTGAAATTCCCACAAATGATTATTTTTCTTATTAAAGGGCTCTTATTCTCCCTTCTCTTAAGGAAAATTGGGTTATCTGCTTTCATATTGAGCAAATTGCAAATTGTGCGAATTGTAGGTGAGCTGGTGAATCTCGAGGCAATAACTGCGGAACCTGAGTATAATAATATGAAATAGATTAAAGCAAAGGCCTTTGAATAGTATGAATGAAGTTTTGGTTAGGACATGGAGGCTAAAATTTTGTTCAAGTTCCATATAGCGACTTGCTTATATCTTAAAAAATTAGTTGCTATCAATCTTAGTCAACTGTTTAGAATATACTGGAAAAAGGAATGAATAATTATCTCCCAGCACCCAACTACGTTACTTTCCTCCTTTGCTTGACTTTTGATGGAAAGTACAACATAGCGAGAAAACATAATAAAATGAATACTTTGCAAATTTTGAACAGTAAACAACAAATGATCAATGACAAATGACAAAATCTAGCCCGGTAATTGAAAATCTCGATTTCAACCAATACAACCTGTCATTTCAAATATCGCTTTTAAACAATAACCAACATCCGATAAACAACCAACATGGATGCTCACAGTTCGTTATCTTGGCAGGTTTCATTTTAAATGTAGTATTTTTAGGGCGTTACTACACGTTAATAAGTTTTCAATTTAAATTAATACCCTTTAAATTTTTGGAGATCGTGATTTAGAAAGAAAATGGCGCGCAGTGCGTGAAAATATCATTTTCGCCTGAGGAGCATCAATTTTACCAACCTTGTATTATCTAATAGCTAAATGGGATACACGAATCAATTTTCGCAATTAGTTTGAAGCTGCTTGGTTTTGGATTTTAAATTTGTTAGGTTCGCGGAAATTTCTAATTCGAGAAACAACAAGACCTCAAAAGGAAGTATTCAAGAGAATCACATGTAATTTTGTCAATGTTCAGCAGCAGATTTCCTAAATCTAGATACGAAGCTTAACTCAATAAAACTCAAAAAATATCGTTTTATTTTTCTCGCAACGAGTTATTTAAACATACACCATAGAGACACACTTGCCCCAAACCAACAATTAAAGATGGCAGATACCCACCGATGTTAAAAATGAACGAAACTTACCCTGAGACGAAGTCCTCGGGAGTGTGGATGATTTAATGGCGGGTTTGGCAGGCTTTGTATCCGCTGATGGAGGAAGCAAACGCATCGAAAACGAACTAAGTTAGTGATGAAAACCAAAATTCACACCCATGCAAGTCAATGAGCAAAAATGTTGCTGCGTTTGATACAGTTCGTACCTGATACTTTACGGTCTTACATTTCCTTTAGGGGGCGGATCTAAGTTTTAACCAAGTTTATTTCTTTTCCCTTGTTCTCATTTTTAGAAGAGTCTTAAATATTGAGGTAATTGAAACCTTTAAATCAACCATCAGAAATTTTCTATTAATGGTGGACGTAGGTAATTCAGTGTCGGCCATTTGGTGTCTCAGAAACCATGGAATAGTTTGTTAACTTGTGAAAGTGGTGCAAAATGGCAAAAATTTGCTAATGTTTGCTATTTTTCTATCTTTTTAGTTTACATGCTTCACCATTACCAACACTGGTTACCACAATTCCAATAACTCCCATCCCATTAATCGATAAAGGTCTCATTTATATTTAAAATTGAATAAATTTGAATCCAGGCTGGATATTAAAACTATTTCTGCGACTTGCTGGTTGTTCGGTGATCTGTGGCTGTACAAGATCGGACCAACTCCCCACCTCAGCTATTTTTTTACCTGCATGTTGAGGGCTGTGCTGTTTGGGTGAATTCATGTCGGGCGGCTCGTCGCTAAAGGAGACCGACTTCTCGAATGAAACGGACTTATCTAAAAATTACATACAAAAAACAGTGTTATATGACGACATGAGGAAAAAAAAAGCAAATGAACGAAGCATTCCCGATGAAGAGGTCGCGTCACAAGTTACTACTGGGCAAGTAATTATTTCGACAGAGAGAAGTATCAAGGTGTTTTTTGCAGCTGAATATCAACGGCGGAATTTTTCTTTTTTCGCAACAAAAATGTTTTATAAAAATATTACAAATATGTGATTAATCACGTAATTAGGAGCACACTACAAAACGTTATTTTGCAAAAATACATTTCCATATTGACATTAACTTCTGAAACACCCTGTCGAAGTTCATAAGTATTGTCTATATAGGTAAAGTGCACAGAGTAACTCACGCAAGCCGTTTATTAAAAGCTTGCAGAACACCCTGTATAATAAGAGTTTTATATTTCGTTTTAAGTTATTTTTGACTTCTAAAGTTTATATTGAAAAATAGGGCTTTTTCAATATCAATATGATACTGTTTCATTTCCGGTATAAATGGTAGCGTTACCAACCATATTTGGAGTTATTGCAAAATCTCAAATTTCCATTGGCATTGATTTCACTGCAACATTCTTTCCTTCACGAAGTGCCATCCTGGTGTGTGTTAATTTATGAGTTTTGTCTATTTTTTGTTTTTCACGAACACTGAAAAAATGTTGCGTGAAAGGGGTCCAGGTAGGATACTTACTGAAAGGGAAGAATTTTATTAATTGAATTTTCTTATATGAAAATTAGTCCTTATATGTATTGAGAACCCTTAATTTTATTTATATATTATACAAAAATAAATTATCTATCTATCTACTCAGCCTTTTCCGGTCAGTTCTGAACATTGTCTCCATTCCTCTCTATTCCTTGCGATGTTTATCCATCTCGGACCCGCAATTTTCCTATTCATCGCATCTGTGGTTTTTCTCTGGTGGTCTCCGGTTTATGATTACCTTCACCTTTCATCATAATATATGTAATGTTGTGGAAATTTCCATTTTGGCTTAGGTATTTCTCTTCCGACATCTCTGGTTTTATTGTTTTTCAGTATTCCATGTGTTCTTTTAGCTTTTAATGTTATGTCTAGCATGTCTTTCCATCGCTCTTTGTGTCTACTTTATTTTGTTTACATTTTCTTTTGTAAATGTCCATACTTGTGCCTCATATATGAGTACTGAGAGTACACATTGATTATAAACTCTTGTCTTCAGGTATTGTGGATATTTTTTGTTCTTTAGGATAAAACACTTCCAAATGCTACCCAGGCAAGTCTGCATCTTCTTTTGATTGATTTGATCTGTTGCTTGATTCTCGTTATCGATTTTGATTGGTTTGATATATGTAATCTTTGACTTGTTTTATTGTATGATGTCCTAATCTGATTTGAGAGTCCTCTTGTGGATTTGTCATAGTGTTGATTTTATTGTAACTCATTTAAAGTCCTATATTTTGGATTTGCATATCTAGTTCTTCGATCATTTCAATAAACTCGTTGTTGTTGTTTGCTGTTAGTACTATGTGATCAGCATAATCTAAGTAGCATAGTTTTTGTCCGCAAGTATTGATTCTCGTTCCGTCCCAAAATTATTGTAATAAATTCATCCCAATTGTTTGGGATTCCTTCCTTGCTCCACTTATCAGCATTTCCACAACCACTTCATCATTTCCTGGATTGCCCTTAAGGTCTTTTAAAGATTTCTTTATGTCTAGCTTATTGATTTAAGGTTAGAGTTTCGACTTCACGTTTTTTACTTTAATTTTAAGTTGTTTTTTTATTTCTTCTGGGGATCGTTGTTTTGTGCGATATAGTTCAGTGTAGTATTCTTGAATTATTTTTAAAACATCATCCTCCTATTCATTTCTATTTCATCTTGGTCTTTAATTTGGCTAATTTCGTTCCTTCCTAGTTTGTTCAATAACATCTTTTATCTTCGCTTTTTGGATTTTACTGGTTTCTTTATTTTTTTTTTTTGTATTCAATTGACTTTCTTTTCTTCTTTTCTTATGTCTGATACGTATTTATTTATTTTTCTATCTCTTCTAGCTATTTCAGTTTTTTTGCCACTTTTTTAAGTTTTGGGTTAATTGCTCTTTTATTTTATTTTTGTATCAATTTTTATATTCCACCAGTTTGTGCATGTCTAGTTGATCTATGTTTGTTGTCAATCTTCTTTTTATTTCAAACTCACTATTTATACGCAAATGTGCCCTCACCATCCTATAGTCACTACCCGTTATAAACCTATTACGTGCTGTTACATCTGTTATTCTTTTTTCATTGGAAAAAAATTACTCAATCTCGTTTATGGTTATATTATATTATACATATATATTACTTTAGGAAATTCATCAACAAATTTTTAATTCATGAAAATATCAAAATCATCTCTTCCTCCTTCTCAGTTCCTTATCCTTCGAATGGATGTGGTGATGTTATGAAATTTGGTTTATGGCCATTGTCCACTTTTCTTTTGCTGCACTTGTTGCGCTGCCTGTGAGACTTTTTATTTGATCCGACCATCGGATGATGATCTTCCTCGAGTTATATTACATTCCAGCTTGTCTTTAACTAGCAATAAATAGAAAAATAATTGTAGCAAGCAAGTGGGTAATGTTGAGTTTTGTCAATATTGAGATGTTTGTGTGGTGGTTTGTCCAGATTATGCGAAGAATTCTGCATTTTATGTCACCTTACATTGTCGGAAGCCTTGGAGTAGTCCACAAAGTATACATATGTTTCTATGTTGAATTCCCTAGATTTTTCAATTATTTCTCTAAGGTTGAAAATATGTTCTGGTATGCATCTTTCAGAAACAAATCGGCATTGTTCCTGGGAATCTGTGGTAAATTGATTTTAATCTCTTGTCGATGATAGCAAAGAGAGCTTTGTTCGCCTAAGAAATCAGAGCCATCGTACGTTACTTATTACAGTCTGGTGGAGAATAACTTTTGTAAATAGGAATGCACCATTTGGTCACTTTCCTGTATTCCAAATTTCATTGCCTATCTTGTATCTTGTATCTTGTAGCTTTCCGTCTAGCCCTTAGGATTTAATTTATTTAATATTATATTATTATTATATTAATTTATTGCGATATCTATTTCGAATTTAAGGACAGGTGGTTCTTTTTTCTCTCTACATGTTCCTTCCTCGTCACTATGAAACAATATTTATATACGGTAGCTATGACCTCAAGTTAATCCTCCTTTAGTTAAATACTTCATTTGTCAAAGAATTCTTTGGATTCTCGACGATCAGCGTATTCCTATAGTTCTTGGAATAATTCTTTGATGTGATTCTCTCTCTTGTGGCTCATTGATTTTATTCGTTTTCTTATGTTCGCCATCTCTAGTTGAATTCTTGTTAGATTTTATGCGCCCTAGCCCTGAGCCTCCTCGGTTCTTTTCCTAAGTTCATTCTCTCAGACATCCAGTGTTTCTATTTATCGGTTTTTTGCTTGGTATATTCATTAGGACTCCCAGTAACTTCTAGTGCTTTTTAGGGATCTTTGGGCATATATTTGATTCTGTTGTCTGTATTTATGTATGTACAGTTTGTGGTCTGACCCTATTGTATATAACAATGGGATGGAACAGAAAACTGTTGGCAGACAGTCTATTTACAGGTATTCTTATGGATCATTACTCAACAATTACCAATTCAGGTTGGGTTTGAGTTGCACACTCACGTGCAGCTGATTCGAACATGAAGACCAGATAGTAGAACAGATTTCGTGGAAATGTCTTGATCTATGATTAAGGCGAATCATATCTCTAATCAAAGAGACGATCCTTGGAGATGTCATTGCCTACTTAGAGGCATTAGACTTAATGCAAAAACAAGTGTTCCAGGAAGAGGCACAATGAGCCTGCTGAGGCCTAAGTTTTGTGATGTAGGCTATTTGAATTTTAAATTAATTTACATACATGTTGAATACTGTATTGTTCATATCAAATTATCCTGAAATTCAGTATTCAAGAAGAATTTTAAGTCTTCTCTAACTGCTACTGAATCAACTGAAAGACATTTTTTAATTTTACTAGAATAATCTCAACGGTAACCTCCGTCTGGCACGACTAAAAAGCTAGCTCTGGTAGCCTATTTATAAGTATCGAATTTTCAACAGGGATAAAAAATTATTTGTTTGCCAAAAATTTAGCAGAACCGAATTGAATTTTCCATTTTCACCCATTTCAAATTGGAAAGTAATAATGTAGAAGGTGTTCCATTAAGAATTTTGAAGGTAATTGAAAATATAGGTATGATAAGATTATCAATCCCATATTACCATTCCAAATTCCTGGCAAGCGGTTTGAGTGACTCACCCTGCACAAGCTTTTCGTTATGGCACAGTTGAAGAATTAAATAGGAAATTGGTCAGGCTTTTGCAAAATGCGAACATATGGAATGTAAAATGCGGCCATCACATATACATCGAGTTTGTCTATTTTGCATGCTCGAAAGTATCAACTATATAACTATAGAAGTAACTTACGGCATCCGCTTTTACCCAGTTTGGGAGTTTTGGTTTCAGAACGAAGGTACGTATCATCTGTCAACATATATAAATGTACGGTGTTAAATGTTTTATTACGCACGGCCACAAAATGGTGGTTGCAAAAACGCTATATCTAGCTAACTAAAGAAGTTTCTGGCAAGCTGGGCAAGTTCAGTCAAAACTAATGAAGTCGGTCGGAATCCGATCATTGTAAATGACATTTATGTCAGATAGTTTCTCAAAAATATAAGAACCACCAGAAAAAAAATCAATTTGAGGATCATTTTTACACTTTGCTGAATTATCATAAAGTATAGCGTTTTTCAGGCCAATATTAAAACTGATAGCTATGCTCCGTTTCTCAATGCAAGAGAGTTATTAATCACCTTAGTGGTCTTTTTCGTATTCCATAAGCTTAGTATTGTACTTATGATGATTTGTCAAAGGTCCCGAGAGTGGCAGGTAGAAAGGTAGTTGACCTATCCGTACATTAGTGTTTAAAATGACAATGAAAAGATTGCCTGACTATGGTATGGGCGATTATGACCGACAAAAATGCAATGATGATCGCCTTAACACCTCTATCTTATAGAGAAATGAGAGCACTTAAGAGTGAAGAAGAAATTGAGAAATTTTATGAGGAACTTACGCCAGCTCTAAAGACAGCAAAGAACAATGGAGTAACAACATACATGGCGTCTTTAACGCTAAAGTAGGACATGGAGAAGTGGAAACCTACGTGGGAAGGTTTGCGCTCACCATACGTAATAAACGGATTTCTGTCAATTTAAAAGTATAATAAAAAACAACTTTTTTCAACTTCCCAACCATAGATTATACACAAGAAAGTCTCCTACAGCTGGAGCTAGTCGTATGGTGAGGAACCAAATTCACTTCGTTCTTATTAAAGATCCTTACAAATCTGTTCAAAATAGCAAAAATGAAATTCTGCCTAAAAATCCCCAGCGGAGAAAAAACAAATCAAAGATAAATGACAATCAGAGTCACGCCCTGGCATAAGCGGATAGAGACACTTTACAAATATAAAGAGAAGGCAAACAAGTATGGATGAATTAAAGAAATGATAATAATGCTTAAAACAAAAAAGGTTGAAAACATCCTGAATGGCAAAATCAAGGAAAAGCCAACTTAAGGAGAACCTTCAGGCTTAAGAATTTGAGGGAACGATTTGAAATGTCCTCTGACCAAATGTTCAAAGCAGCTGTCAATAAAGTCAGGATAGCCATGACTATAGCCATCTCTCCTAAAAGAAGGAATCAGAAGAAGGACGGCAAATGAAGTATTTACCATTGGTAAAACATGTCAAGATAAAAATGTGAAAAGCGCGAGTTGAGTCTTCATGGAAGGATGGTCCACTGGAATAAAATAACTCTAGATATTATTCTTCCTGTGTTTATTGTAGTCATAGCTAATGCCGATTGCCACTGAAAAAAGTGTAGTCGTCTTCAAGAAAAATAAAACTCTAATTGGCTTACTTTAATTACTTATTACTGGAAGACGAAGAGGTTGTAAATTTTGCAAATTCCTGCGCCGGTTGTTGATCAATCGAACTTGCTGACACTTTACTAATCATGTTGGGCTGCTTCATAGCTTAACTGAAAGTTTAGCTCCACTCTATGATTTGAATGCAAGGAAGGACCGAAATGGCAAGATTGCTTTCGGAGTCATTCTTTTTAGGAGGTTGTGGAGAAGCATATTTTGCGATGGAACGCTTAATATCTCTAATGTGGATATTATTATAGAGAATACCTAGTTCAAACTTAAAGGCCAAATTACAAAAGTATTATCAACGTAGCGTTTCTATAGTTTTGGTGATGGGTGGAAAATGTCGAGGACCTTCTACTCAAAACCTTCCATAAATATGTTTGCGAGAATTGCTAATAATGTTGCTGATATTTATTGATCAATTTTACCGTTACAAGTCAAATGTGTTCAAAAAAGAAGCATTTTCCAATTAAAATGAGAAGGTATGATTTTCAATACTTTTTATTTTCTTGATCTTAGAATAACTAATACCTCAATTACCTGTCATCATGTATAATTTGTAATAAAATCTTGTAAACATCTCTGGCATTGAAAATTTACATTTTATTACTCTCTCGCATTAAGAAACTAAATATGATAGCTACAGCATTTTTTTCATTGATCATTTTTCAACAGAATTCTTTACTGCTCAAGGCAAATGATATGTGCGCACTAGAATATTCACATTTGGAACCAAACATTTTCTATTACTGGTGTTAGAAACCGCGAAATGTTGCCTTGACTGCCGCTAAAAACTAGGTTAAAATTGTTCGGTCGAAAGTTTGATCTGTCGCATAGCCTAAACCGCGTGAAGGCTATACTATTGTGCAAAAATCCTTCCTAAAACTAAAAGTCGAACAAAATCGATTTCAAATATTTTCGATATCTTGCGAGACAGCGTTAGAGGTCGACAAAAGCGGCGAGTGATTTACAGTGATTTATACAAACCTGGTAAAGAAGCTGAACTCGAGCTGGAGTTCTTATCGAACTCATCTCCTGTTGGTACAAATTAATGATGAACGTTAGCAAACGAAAAACTATTTACACAAGCTTGCAAGTTGAATGTTAGTCCGTCGGAGTGGCCATTTCAGCCGGTTTGTTGAAGAAATTTCGGGCGAAAATTGAAAAATTCGCGACAACATTTATCGTTGAAATGGCCACCCCAAAATGGAGTTGTGACAGAGGCGTGACATAAATGAAATGCATTTTTATAGTTTGGTTTAAAACCTCATGTTATTGTTGTTGTTATTATTAATATGCAAAAATATCTGCCATATCCCACAATTTTTTTTTTACGTTTTCCAGCGGTTATTTTTTAATACATGTTGCTTTATTAATATTTGATGCAAGAGCGCTAAAGTAATCTTAGGAATTCAAACGCTTCTGTGTACCTCGCTGGTGTTTTCACAATGCAGCAAAATGTTTTTAGGTATTTCGTTTAAAATAAACGATTTCTTGTAATAAATACATCCCAGAAAAAATTGAAACTAGTGAAGTGAATACTTCCAAAAATGTTCGTAAATATCCATTTTATCATCGACCTATCAAAGGCAGATGCAAATTTTGATTGATTTAAATTTGCAAGGTGGACGAATGGTTAGGAAATATACCGAGTGACTCAGTAAGTTAGAGTATTAAAGAAAAGGGAGGTCCTAAATATTTGAAAAAAAGGTAAATGGGCAAAAAAAATATTTTCTTTTTTGAATTTTAAAACTAGCTTTCTACAAAAATTTCTAAGTATATTAAAAGTGAGTACTATTTTACATGCAAATTGAAATAATTTTTGTATAATGCTGTATACTTGATTTGTACGATGGCTTACCTTGCCACCAAGACGCGGTTTCCGACAAAATTTAAAAATAAATAATGGAAAAAGTAAATGCAACTGTATGACTTTTTTTTCCTCATAAGATAGGAAAATAACAACTGAAATTTACTTTAAAGTAGCTCAAAAAAGCGAGACCAATAATTTTTATTACACCGTATGCGAATAAGTTTTTTAGGCATTTTAAATTAAAACATCTCGTTTTTGTTAAATAGCACACCATATATATTATATTTTTTTCTGAAAGATCTTACAAAAACCTACAACTTTTAGCAAATATGTAATATAGCAGCTTTTAATACTTTGCGATTTATTTTAACTTTTCCAACATTTACCATTTGTTTGTCTAAGACTATTGCCATGACGAAATAAATTTAACATTTATTGTGGTGTCAGTAAATAAAAAAAAAACTAAGTGTGGATTTTCCTAAAGCTGGATTAATTGATATGATCTACAACACCAGAAAATATGGAAAATAGGATTCGGAACACGTGAATTCGGGAACCTAAAAGAAAATATGCGAAGCGCATATTTTTGAACCCTTATTGCGCCATAATAATAATTAAAAGTAATATAAGGTATTTGTGCCATTTAAGAAATTCTAGATTTTTCCATTTAACGTGATATAAATAAAGTCACTTATTTTGAACACCTTGTAGGATTTAAATCAGATTCCTTTGCATATGATCGATTCACCTTTAAGAAGGTGAAGAATGTCAAAACGAATTAAAAAATAAAATAACGTACGTTTTATTCGTCACGTTTTTTTGAGCCACTTTATAAACTTTAGAATAATTTTAAATTGAGAATCCTAAGAATCTGCACAACGTTATATGTACTTTTTTTTATAACTTTTAAACCTAATGAGATAAATGAATTTTACGTCATCGTTGACTCACCCAGTATAACATTTACAAAATCGCGTCACTCTCAGCACGATAAGTCTATAAAAAAGTCCTCCAAATATATTAAAATGAGTATAGCGATAGTACTGTAAGCGTTTGAATTTTTTGTAGAAACTGAGTTTAAAATTCAAGATAACAATCACACTTAGCACTTTCTTTTGACCGATTGAGTTAATACATATTTTTTTTAATTTCTAGTACTACCCGTTTTCTTAATACCGACCTCATCTCCCTTATTGGGACACCTGGTACAGTATTCCGTTTCCTCATCTACCCATTCTCCACAATTATTGAGGCCATCCCCTTGCACCAAATTCGATTAGTTCCCAAGAATATTAAATCGTGTCTGAACATCTACCGCGCACTAACAACGTACCGGCTATCCATTTCCATACCTTTCCAACAAACTATCCGCTAAAATTGCAGTGCCTAAGTCCTGCACCCCAAACACTTGCACACTATTTTTTTTTTGTTTTAGTGCACGATGCAAGGCACACAACAAAATGGAGATAACGCACAACCCTCACCTCTGTAACCTTCTCTAACGGGCACCTGAAGATGACCCGCCGGATGAGTGAGCGCCTTCTGAACTAAGCCCGTCAGATTGGCCAATTGTCGTTCCATGTGCTCCACCCGCAACCTGATGATGGGTAAACGCGTAATTAATCTCAAAGCAATAATTTTTATAAACTCCACAGTACTGGTAAATGCAATCCTACTCTGAGTTTTTTATTTTACATTTTAGAAAAATGCTTTGAATGCATGGTATGCCAAAAAATCATTGTGTATTAAAGTTATATTTTATTAAATTGGAAGCTCTGTATCATTGTCATATATCATTATGTATCATTATTTTGCATATAAAGAAGCACCCTTTTACGCTGATTTCAAGTGTGTGTGCTGCCTTGTCGAGAGTGCTGTTGATTTCGTGCAGCCGAACAAATCTGTGAAACAATTAAATTAGACGAAATATCAAGTATGAGCATATGGGCAAATTGGACAGTTTATATACAGGCTGTTCCATAAGTAATGGTACATCGCAAAACAGGAGATCATTTAGGTAAAAATATTAAGATTAAACGAAACTTACCTTAGTCCAAAAGTTGAAATTTGACAAATCTGAGTTTTTGATATGAGAAAAACATAAATTTCGCATCGAGTCGCAGTTTTCGAAAAATTTACCTTTGAATTGAACAGTTGCATGTCAACATGCAAAATAGTTCAAAGTAGACTTTGACTAACATTATAAAAAGGCATAAAAGGCAGTAAAATAGTGCGAAATAGGCTCTGACGGAAACGACACGATAACATACTTGCAAATTTTTTCAAAGTATCTTTAACTAAAAGAAATGCGATAAGAGCACAGAGGTTCTTGTGAATTTCTTTGTTGTGTGTCAGTATCTTGGGTGTTTTTAAAAAGTTTTGGTTAGTTTTCCGATAATGCCATATGTTTTTCAGCGTGGAGATGCGAGACATTATATGTTTCCAAACCAGATTTTAAAATTTTTAAGAATATTTATAACAGGCGAAAATAGTTCGTTCCGGCCCAAGAGGGATTCTGTAGGGCGACTAAAAGTGATTAACCGAGAGCTGGAAGAGGAAATTTTAATCCAAGTAGCTAAAAATCCGGAAATATGCACAAACGGGGACCGAAGTGCGCAAATCTACAGTTTGTAGAATTTTTCACAAAGAAAAGCTTTATCCATATCACTTGACTCCTCTGAAATTTTTTAGAGTGTTATCCTCTAGTCAGATTGGTTTGCTCGTTTTTATTGGGTCCGGCAAAATCCAGACCCAACGTTTGAAAATAAAATAATATTTACTATATCTTTAGAAATAAGCATGCGTGGGATCTAGAAATTCCCCGTTTTAAATGCCATTTCCAGCAGGAATCTTAAATAAACGTTTGGTGGGGAATAATTGGTAATTACATGTCAGGACCCATCGACCTATCACCTGATTTAAATGGCGAGATGTACCTGAATTATTTACAAACTCAATTCGCCGATTATTTGGACGAAAGACAATATTTACAATATTTAACAATATTTAACCTGATTATGGAAAAAATGATAGAAAAAGTAAAAAAACTAACAGGATACAAAATAGGAAACATAAATATCACGATCCTATGTTACGCGGACGATGCGGTACTGATATCTAATAGCGAAGATAACCTACAAAGTATGTTACACATATTTAATAAAACCGCAAAAGAATACAATATGGCAACTATCAACAGAGAAAACTGAATGTTTAACAGTATCTAAGGAACCAACAAGATGTAAGCTGGAAATAGAAGGGACAATCGTAAAGCAAGTAATGTCATCAAGATACTTAGAAGTAGATTAACAAGTCACTGAGATATTTACCAAGAGGAAGGCAGCAGCCACAGCAGGTGCATTAAGGGATACAGTGTAGAGAAATAAACATCTAGGAATAGAAACGAAAACAGGAATGTATAAAGCATGTATAAGACCAATAATTACGTATGTCATAAAACAAGAGCCGATAAAAAGAAAACAAAACAAGCGCTAAGAACAAATGAAACGAAAACATTAAGATGCATAATAGGAAAGACTAGACGAGATCATGTACGAAGAGAAGATATCCGGCAACAATGTAATATTTAAGATGTAGTAAGATGAGGACGAGAGAGAAGAAGAATTTGGAATCAACACGTAACGAGAATGGAAGAGCACAGATTAGCAAAGATCAGAAGAGATGGAAAACCCAAGGGGAAAATATCAATAGGAAGACCACAAAAAAGATGGCAAGATAGCTGGTCAACAGAATCACAAATAAGATTAAATAGTACCCAGTAAACACAAGTCATTGGACTTAACGTAGGATTAAGAAGAAGAATATTTCGAATTTTTCAAGGAAAATATTTTTGATTAACTAGAACATGTTACATATTTTTGAAATCAGCGTAAAATTACTTTTCTTCTTATGAAATAATATTAAGAGCTTTCAATTTTTAGCAGCGCTTTCTATATAAGTATGCATGTGATAATCAATATACACATTAAACAGTAAAAAAAATTTATACAACCTTTTTTTCAAAAAAGTAAAATAAAAAAGTTAGAGGGGAGATCTGTTACCTGGTAGCATCGTACGGAACTGCTGCTGGTGCTGGAAACGTTCCTCGCGTCGTCGACCTCGGACCTGTAGCCGGAGGAGCCGCTTTAACTCCGTATAAAGAGTACGATTCGTCCAGCAGCTCTGTATCACTATAATGGAACTATTCTTACTAACTAATTTGGAACGCAATCTGAAATTGTGCAATAAAGACTGGCAACGTCGTCATCATGCCAGAAAACTAGGACCCGAATTATCATAAGCACCTCTAATAATGGAAAAGCTGACTTCAATAGTGGTCAAGGTCAGTCAAGGTCCCTTGCCCTCATGGTTAAAGAAGAAATGCGTAATGGACAAAATGCGCCACAGAAAATAAAACAATAAAACATTAAATGGCAGCGCACAAATTGCATTAATATCTGTCCGAAGACGAAAACTGTTATTAATTAAAAAAAAAAAGCGAAAGATTATTTCACCATCTTTACAGTTGTGATTATAGGTTAGACACATTTGATAAAATGATGATCTGACCCTCATATTGATTCCACTTTTAAAATTCTAAAAAAAGGTCAACACTGCTATTAAATATTTTTGCTTAATTTCACAGTTTTCAGTCAGTGTGCATGCGCACGTAACTTATAATAAAATTCCGTGCGGGGTGCCTTTGGTTCTAGGCAGACGAGGGTCGGTCGGTCTCCGAGTCGCGCACATAAGGGAAAAGCACTTTTGACGGTAGTAAGAATGTCGGGAAAATTTGTTTCTTTCACAAAATACATAGTGTTAATCATCTTCCGACGTTTTATTTTACCGAAAAATTGTGTTAGTGAAAATTGGTGAACAATAACTCCCAAATCAATAACAACTGCGTTAATTATAGCGTGAAATAAAAAAGGGATTTTCTCCAATCTACAGGATCATAAACGAATTTATACAGCATGACCACCGATAAACAAGTTCGTCTCACCTTAAGAGACTCCATGTCAAACAGCTGGAGTAAAAATAGGTGATCAAATCACCATGAACGATAACATCAATGTATCCAAACTAAAAGGCTTGTATTGATATTAGATTAGATGATTGTTCCAGTTTACTCCCTATAAACGCTGTGTAAGCAAATTGTTGGACCTCGGCAGTCTCTAACTCAGTGACCCAATAATCTGTGCTTGCCGTTATTTTTCATATATGCTCAAGACAAGTAACATCTCCCAGATCTCTCAACATATCACATCTCTCCAAGGGCATGCCGTTGAGTGTCGAACAACATGGGGCTAATACTTCGACAAAAATACAAAGCACGCCGGGCTTTACATTTGGGAATATTACGTCTGAGTTCACAAAGTACCAATTACTGTTTTGTGGTGTCCAGATAGATTGTAAGTCATCCGCAAACAAAAAATATATTGATTTTTAAAAAATAAATTTTAGACGTTTTAGTTTTTTTTTTCCATAGCTCTGTATGAACTTTACCCTTTATAACGTGATTGTATATAACTAGAAGTGGCTCAACAAATACACCTATGCAATCTTTACAATGAAACTGGGAATATCGTACCATCGGGTAGTCATGGGTTGTAATTACTTTGATGCTTTGATAATATCCTCCCCTGAGATGAGTCCAATGTAACCGTAAATATAATTTAGATACTGAATCGGTACAGTGGTATTAAAACTAGGCTCAGAAAATTCACTTGAAATGAACTCTGCCAAACCGTTGACTATAACTTCAGGAGAATTTAACTCAGATTCTTCTAACGCTTAGAAATGGGTATCTTAGTTATACCTTTCTTCAAATAGACGTAACTCCAAAGCTTTGAAGTTTGAAGTAAACTAAGGAAGATAAGATTTTTTTATGTTGTTTATTTCTAGGAAGTGTCTGAGCGAAAATATAATTGAAGACCTCATAAACAAACGTGCACGTACACAAAATTTCTAAAGCTATTAACAAACTGAAAATCTATATCTGGAGAGGTATGATAAATATATTTATATATTTTATAACACTAGTGATGGAGTTGTACTGAGTGGCGTCCATAAAATTAATGGAAATAATAAATATTAATAATGTACTTTTTTGCATCATCCGCCTGACTATTATAAACTTTATAACTTTAACAAGTCTATTCGCTGTGTGGATATGATATTTTTGTTCTTGTTACAATACCACTCCTAATTATTATTAGTTATCATAATTATACCTTCTTTGAATTAATTTTTGAAAAAAATATGATTCATCTGTTGATCCTCTTTATAATATAGATGCTTATGGCAACGAAATAAGGTATATGTTGCAACTAGAGCATAAAATAACTAACCGGTATCTAAAAAAAGCCAATAAAAGCCGCAAAACGTTGTTAGGTAGCAACTCTAAAAATTTGTCAATTAAACCAGGAAGTCTCATACTATTAACAAATGAAAGATGACAGACATTAGATCCTTGGTGTTGCCAAGGTCGAATGTGTTAATAAATTTTCATATAATTTTGTACAATTATTGGTACCAGTTTTGTCTATATTTAAAAACATATATAAAAAAATAATAAGAAGCAGGGATATATTATATTAGGGAGGTATAAACTCAAAAGCGATGCGTATGAAAATATTTAACTATTATGGTTTTGTGTATAATAAATAGGTAAATCAAAGCAAAAATGTACTTTAAAAAATGTAATTAAAAATAAAAAATGTTATACTTTGTACTAATTCGACCGTATTCTGTCTACCTATACAATAATAATAATATTAATACTTTTATTTTTCTTACTGCAGCCAATACATTAAGAAACTGTAATTGGAGTGGCGAGATCTAGCTTGTAGTTACTCATTTCTAAACTCTAAGTATAGTTGCTAACAAGATAGAAACACAAAAAAACAAGAACACAAACAAATTTTTTAGAACAAAAAAATATATACATGGATAAGATTGCCATTTGAGAAAATAAGTAGTGATAAGATGGAAAAAGGATGTAAATGGTAAAACAAGCAATAGCAGTACGATCCGACTAGTGAAACGAATGCACATGAATAGGGAAATATTACGGAAAGCGTGCCCAAAACCATTCGGAGACATGTAGAAAATCCTGCGGGTTTTGAAAAACCTAATTTAAAGCAATCCTTTAACTTTGTCATGAATTTATCAAGGCTCGAGCAAGCCTTAATGCTTTGGCGAACACAGTTGAAATATTTTACTGCATTGTAACTAACGATTTTTGTGCCTGGAAAGAGTAGCAAAATCAGAACATCAGGGCCTCTGATTAGCTTATCAAATAAATACAAGGGCAATTGTGAGACGGTAATTTGAAAAACAAGCGTACACGATCTGAAATCGAGTTTCCAGTCTAAGTCAATTAGAATTTGAATATGAAGGAGAGACATGATCAAACCGTCTCAATCCACAACAAAACCTTATACAGCTTTCACTGCGATATGCCAAGGTAGATAAAATAATTGTGTCATATAGTTTCAAGAAATTTTTTAGACAAATATAAGGCGGTAAGTTTACGATAACTTTTTTGGATTAGACAAGACACGTGAGGTCTAAATCTCAACAATACGAAATTTAGGGTTGATAGGGTAAATTTTGTGTGCAAGGGGTATTGTCACTTACAATCTTTAGATCATGATGATTCGTTTGATGTTTTGCGACCCTTGAAATTAAAACTGAGATGCAATAGTTGAAACTCATCTGCAAATTGATGCGAACTGAAATAATTAAGGTAGTTACAGAAGACAAAGATGTAAGGTGAGAACCGGGAAACCTTTCGAACCACGTCCAAGAAATCAGAATTCATTTCGAATTTTACTCGTACCGTAAAAGATATTTCGTAAAAAGGATACTGCGGAAGAATCTATACCAAAAAATTTAAGCTTGGAAAACAAAATATTATGATCAATAGTGTCAAATGCTCTTCTACAATCAAAAAGAACGACAACTAGATTTGTCTACATCCACGGCACGTATAATATCATCATACACCATATAATCGCTCAACTGTTGAGTCATAACTTTCTCCAGAATCCTAAGAACCGACAGGAGACTTATGGACATGAAATGAGAAAGCTCACTAGGTTCACTCTTCTTTGCTACTGGTATAACGCTGGCCAACTTCCAGTCACTGGGAGACTTGCAGGAGGAAATATCATAATTAATTTTGTAAGTGATATGATCTAAGAGATGAGGAATTTTAAAAACAATATTTTGACGGTCAAGCATAAGCATTATTTGAGACACTATTAGTATAGTTCACTGGCGCATAAACCACGGGCACATTTTCTAGAAAAAAAAGCTACTAAACTTAATCCGGAGTGCCAAAATCAAAAGAAATGTTTTATAATGATGTACATAATTCCATAAATATATATTCCTTGTTTGTTAATAAAGGAACAGCTACTTTCTTTCTTTTCTTTCTTCTTTTCTTTTGTGTAGTACAGGAGACAATCACTTGATAAATATGGTAGGTTTTCTCATCTCACAAGATAATGGCTTAGCTAAGGAAAACAGTAGCAAGTTTTTTTTTAATGGAACGCCGTCTATATTTTCAGTTATGGCGAAAGATCTTTTTCTCCTGATTAAAACAATATATGGATAAACTGTACTTGAATTATTAAAGTTTCAAGTTTTGATTGACTAAACAGATGTTAATCAGAGTAAGAAAGGCTTCAAGTAGTTCCCAACATAGTTAAGAAATTATAAGCAATGTAAAAATGCGCTAACGCAGCAGGGTATTCAAATTGTAATAGGTCAAGAATGAGACGATCAATCCATAAAGTATAGCCAAGAGGATATAAGACGTTTCGATTGAGATGTTAAAAGAGTCGGAGTAAAACATATTCCGTGTTGATAGCTTCGAGTCTCTTACCTGATTTCTTCGTCTATTACAGGAGTGATTGACCCAGATCTGGGAGCGTATTGGCTGTAGTATGGATCTTCGTACCTGGAACCTCTCTCTGGGGATGACATATAACCATCTAAATAATTAATTCATATATCATTAGGTACTCCTTTGGGTGAAGAAAGCTACGCTGATTGGTTAGTAAACGAGCTAATAATTGCCTCATGGAGGCGATAGCTCATCTATAACCATATTTTCAGACACTATCCACTACAATATGCTACGGGTGTTGTGTGATTCTGTACACTGTGTATTAATAAATGATTATGTGGCTTTTATACAATGTTTAATTACTAGTGCTGCCCTCCGGCCCAAAAATAAAACGGAAAACATTCGGGGAATCAAAATACCGCAAAAACTACGCACAAAAAATCGTCGACGTCACACAAAAACACATCGAAAAAAAAAGTTAAAACGATCCCATACGAAGGGTAGTTTTTTATAACGGACATTTTTAGTGTACTTTTTCACAGTCGGTGGGAATTTGGGCGTTTTTAGTGGGAAAACGCATCACGAAAACAACCTCGAAGTTGCGCGATCCGATGGCCGCCATATTGGTCCCTAAATTGCTTTTAATTTATTTTCATTTTGTCGAATTAACGTATCGGTTGTTTTGGTGGTTCGAGCGTGGTGCCGTTCACCCACCTGGCACATAGAGGGGGTTGGCGGGCCTTTGGAAAGGGGCGAATCGGTCTGGAGGTGGTCGAGGGGCGGGGCCGTCGCTCGCGTTTCTGCCCGGGGTTGATCCGCTACTGTAAGCCCGTTGCGGTTTTGGGGGCGCACCTTTCAAAAAAGGCATATTTTATTTTTATACGGACAGTGGTTAGCGACTATTTCACTGAGGTTCGGCATCCTACTGGATGTGATTTTTCGGAGCTTAGGTTATGTTCACGATTTTGTCGTATTTTATAGTAAATTTTAGTTGTTTATTCACATACCGCCCGGAAAAATTAAATCCACTTGGTTGGCAACGCCCCATTATCTTCAATACTGTTCTACGAAGACATATGATACAAGGTTGACGCTTTTGAGAAATTGTAAAGGGCTAGTCAACGATAGAGTGAAGCTCATTGGTTTCAAAATTTATGAGAAAATGGTGGATACAAAAGTTGAACACGTTGTTAGGATACACGATTTAAAATTAAATTAATTTTATTAGATTAACGTAACCGGGTGCCTCAAAAAGGCGTGACGAATAAAACATTCAGTTTTGTAAATAGTACACCCTATTTTCAAATTTTGTTTTGAATTCCTCTCAAATTTCTTGAACTTTTTTATTAATCATAATACATACCTAAACGTAATAGTTTCTCTTGAATTTTTCTAGAAAAAGACTAGTTTATTTTTTAAAGAAACTTCCACAAGCTGATGTAATACTATTTACAAAACTTCTAGACTCCTCGTGGGCCAGTTATTGAATTGAACTTGCTGACGTTTGGACAACAATCCTGTTAGCTTCTGCCGTGCTTAACTGAAACATGGCTCGCATTCTACTCTGTACCTGCTTATATATTGTTTGAGGGATTATGGAAACGCTATATTGATGATAGTTTTGTTATTTGGCCTTATGGTCAAGAATCCCTACTGGATTTTCTTAGCCATTTAAACTCTATTTACCCTAACGTACGACTTACTATTGAATTGGAAACTAATAATAATCTCACATTCTTAAATATCCTTATCAATATAAAATCAGACCTAATATTGAGTCATTCTGTTTACACAAAGCTTACGCGCGCAGACCGATTCCTTAATCCAGTGTCACATGTAAAACTATTTCAGATCAAGCCACTGAACCCAGAAATAAAATACCTTACAGCTGCTCTTTTCTTTAATAACTTCTACATTAGAGATATTAAGCGTTCCATTACCAAATACACTTCACCACATCACATATCACATTCGAAACACCACATATCAAAATTTCCTAAAAAATATAACGTCAAAGGTGGATTTACCACTTGCTCAAAAATCTCTCATCATCTTCGATCCGCCAATGACAAAACTCCGTTTGAGATACCAGGAGTTTACAGCATTCCATGCAACTGAATTAAATGAAATGCTGGGTGGGGTTGAAAAAATACTTCGTTGGGTAAGACTTTACAATTCGAAGCTCCCTAACAGACGTATAACAACTAGACAATCTTTTCAGCGATCAATGGGAAAGTTTGATGCTAGTGCTGCAGTTAGTTGCTGCAGTTGATAACATGGCCATCGAGAAGTTCGAGAATTTTTAAATACTCATTATCCACAGAATTGGATCGGTAGAGGTGAATTCATTGGATGGCCCCCTCGAGTATGTGACTTAACACCACTAGACTTCCTATTGTGGAGATATTTAAAGATCTGAATCCCCCTACAACACCGGAAGATATGGAAAATAGGATTCGGGATGCGAGCAGGGGAATAACACCGCTAACCCATGCTAAGGAACGTCCAAGAAAATATCCAAACATTACTAAACATGAACATTTATTGTGCTATAAAAATAATTAAGAATAAGATAACTTAATTTGTAGTAATAGCTATTCAATTTTATTCACTTTTTCAATGAATTTATAATTTGTCAATAACTGTCTGTTGCTTTATGTAAGGCTCCAGTTCTTTCTCCTTTTCTTTTTTTTTTGACTAATAGTTTGGTCATGGCCAACTAATATTATGCGAATAGTCTTAGACAGAAAGAATTGTAAATATTGGAAAAGTTAAAATAAAATAAGGTATATAACATACCCAATAAAGTTTTTGTAAAATCTTTCATACAAAATGATAATATATATCGGGATTTTAAAATGATCCAAATATATTCGTTAATTTTAAACACCCAATAGCATGGAAATCAAATTCTATCGCATATATCTCTTCTGTCATCTTTTAATGCTAATATCAAATATCTACTTTTAAAAATAATGGCGCAATCGTAATTTCTTTGCACCTAGTATTTTTTTGAAAAATTGTTTGTGTTGGTTGAGGAATTTCAAAATGAATTCAAAACAAAATTGAGAAATAGGATTTTGAAAAATGTATATTTTAATCGCCACATTTTTCTCAGCCACCATGTATACTTTAAAATAATTTTAAATTGCGCATCCTAATAATCTTTACAACTTTTCTATTTACCATTTTATCGTAACTCTTGAAATCAATGAGATAATGAACTTCACTGTATCGTCGAGTTTACGGTTAGTTTTTATATTTCCGTAAAATATATCAATCATCCTTTCGTTGCAATATCTACATGGCTTAATTTTTTAGTTCTTCTCTTTAATGTTAAGTATAGAAAAAGGAATTGCAGTCAGTTTATAATAATAATAATCGTTCCTTTTCAGGAAAGTTTAAAAGAAACAAACTTAAACCTGGCATCGCCGTACAAGTAGATGCACCGGGGGTCTCATCAAGGGCAACGCAAAGGGAAACGGATGGTGCTAGACATTTGACTTGAGTTTGTTATCTTAAATTTTAATGCTCGGTTTATACAAAAATTTACAATTTTAAAAACGATCTTGCTATTAGTGAGGCGATTGCGATTGTTTTCCTCACGTCACATTCTGACATAATCGTAAAAAATAATTTACTGAAAAAAAAAATAAATTCAAATATATGACTTTTATACGTCACTAAACAGTCCAGTAGGATCCCAACAGCCCATCTCATTTTTTTCCTAACCTAAACTAAGATTCAAAGAACTTAAGATTCAAAAAAGGATTTTTAGAAACATTTCTTTACGGATTATTATTAATAAAATGATAATTTATAATTTTGGATGCCAAATGATATTTAAAAACAAAATAAAATTATGTTGTTTAGCCTTTACTTTTTTTACAATACATTTTGTTAGGACAAAATTTGCCAGGAGCTGAAATTACTACCTCGTGATTTCTTTTTTTTCAATCAATTCATTATTATCCATATTTTTTTTATTGCCAATTACTAAAACTAATCAATTGTTGAAATCTGACCAATTTAAGTAATTATTGAATTATTGAAAATTGAACAAATGTCGGCAATCAACAGATTTTGACAAGCATCAAATAACGACATACAATTGGTTGGTTTCCAACAATTAATTAGTAATCGCGTTGGTGATTAGAGCTAATGTTTAATGAACAGAGTGTTTTTTTTATTTTTATCTTAAAACTGGTTTTAACGTTATATTTTCTATTTAATATGTTGTCAGTGAATGTAAAGAAGGAACCCAATTGCAAGTCTTAGGACTCATTGTTTTTGGAGGGTTGTGGTGACATGAAATTATTCGAGGGAAGACCAGATATTAGATCTTTCAATTCTGGGTCCAGTGATCTGAGTTGAGATAGTTTTAAGACTCTGAAAACAAGATAGTTGATAACCGAGGTATGAATGGGCATATAAGCATAGGTTTTCTGTAAACTGAATAACACAATGTTAGTTGTGATTTTCTATTGATCAGAATATTTAAGAATGGGAGATTATTATTAATTTCTAATTCAATTCTAAAACGTATGTTATGGTATATATAGAAAAAATCGGAGGAATTCTTGACCAAGAAGCCAAATAACAGAAGTATCATCAACATAGCGTTTCCATAATTTTGGTTTTAGAGGGAATGTGTCGAGAGCTTCATTCTCAAAGGCTTCCATAAATATTCGCGATGACTGGTGACAATCGAGAAGCCATAGCTGTAACCGGCGATTGTTTATCATAGGTACTTACTTATTATCAATAGAAAATCAGACCTAACATTGAGTCATTCCTCTTGCGCCGGGTGTTGTGGAATTGAACGTTTAGCCAGTCAGCCTGTTGGCTCGCATTCTACTCTGTATCTGCTTATATATTGTTTGAGGGAGGAGAAGCTAAAGGAGGGACATAGACATACTGGTGACAGAATAAAGACATTGCATATTCCATCTAAAACCAAAATTATGGAAACGCTATGTTGATGATATTTTTATTATTTAGCCTCTTGGTCAAGAATCCCTAGTAGCTTTTCTTAGCCATTTAAACTCTGTTCTCCCTAACGTACGTTTTACCATAGAATAAAAAATCAGATCTAACACTGAGTCATTCTGTTTACTGAAAACGTATACTCCATGTCTGATACCTCAATGTATTGTCAAATCACCAACGGGCCCAAAAATCATAAGTTATTAACTATCTTGGTTACAGAGCCGTAAAACTATCTCTGCTCGAGTCACTAAACCCAGAATTAACACTCTCTCTAATAGTTCCCATATCAGAGATATTAAGCTTTCCATCACAAAATACACTTCACACTGCCACTGTTGTCCTTCCTTATATTCAAAACATCACTGACCACATATCAAAAGTTCTTAAAAAATATAAACTCAAAAGCAGATTTACCATTTGTCCAAAAATCTTTCAACAGCTTAAATCCGTCACAGAGAAAATGCCGTTGGACAGACCTTACGAAAAATATCAACTAGGCTCAAAGAACATCAAAGAGCCTTACGACTACGACACAATCATGAAACCGGACTTCAAATCTTAACTCAGGTCTTTATCTGTCACCAATATGCCCTTCCTTTAGCTCCGGCTCCGTCAAACAATATATAAGCAGGTACAGAGCCAGTTTCAGTCAAGCTCTAAAAAAGCCAACAGGCTGATTGGCGAAACATCAGCAAGTTTGACAACTGACGCAGCAAGAATCCAGAAGAATTGTAAATAGGATAAAGATAATGCATTACGATTTCATTTGGGTTGTTGAGCTGTCATTTGATTATCTGCTGACACAAAAAAAATCATGTTATGTCAGAAAAAAGCTTTTTTTAACTACTCCAAGTTGATTAAAA